ACGGCTTCGCAGAATGAATTTTTCTCAAACATAGAAGATGACTTGAATAAGAAACTTGATAATGAACTAGAACAATTGGTAGTAAGCTTTCGAGACATGGTTAAAGCCGCAGGATTTGATATTAGCCTGAGAATTCCCGATAATAGGGTTCGTGGATATTTATTTGTGATATCGTACTGGACACAGGCGACATTGTACACTATTTCAGCGAAAGGCGCGTTGAGGATGTTAATTATGTTAATTATGTTTGTCTTAATATACAGGAGGTGGAAAAGGATAAATACAGGAATGTATTGGACGAATATGTTGGTGAGTTGCGAGCCGCAAACTTGGTAAATCATTGATTATCTCTATATATTTGTGTATAATAAAGTTTTATATCTATTAATCACTTCTAATAAAATCTTAAAGGAAAGAGCTTGTCAAACTCTTCTTACACTGACACATGATTTAAAGACGACTCTCTTGTTGAATGACACGAAAACTTTAATGCGATTACGCGAAACGCGTAAAAATGCATTAACTGCCAGAACTCAAAAAATAAAGAATAAGATTGTAGAACTCAATGATGCAGTCAGTGAAGCCATTTGGGAGATGGAAAGTGTGTTGGGAGGTGGTCAAACGCATAATAGTGGGTTTAGACAATGAGGTCAAAACTCAACTTTATAATTTGGTTAATTACCTGGTTCGTAGAACCAAAATGAAACGTTCCCATTATGCTTTTTTTTTTTTTTTAATATAAATTTGAAATTTAGAAATATATAAATTAAACAATAATTTTTATAAAACCAGAATTTTCTATAGGAGAAATTTTCTACTATTGTTTTTTAAAATGGTGTTATTTGTCGAAAAAATTAAATAATATACAAAAAAGTCAAATCATATATGCATTCAAGTAATAATAGTTTTTAGAGTGGAAGATTATATAAAAATGAAAAGAGTAAAAATTATAAAATTGAATAATCTATATTTGAATATACTGTATATTATTAACAAAACTCTATATTTTAATAATCTCAAAATTATTAATTCATAGAGGTTCTACTATATTTCTTTTATTATATTTAACATAATATTTTATTTTATTTTATTAATAGTAGATACTGTATATTATAAAAATGTCCCGCTTAATAATTGAGTCGATGAACTCATTGGCTCCAAATGATACACAAATATGAAATTATTAACTTGTAAAGCTCCGAACTTAACAACGGTTTCCGTTCCTAGTAAAAATTATTTAATTTTGGTTTTCGAATTTTTGATTAAAATAATTAAAGATGTATTTTCTATAAAAAAAATAATTTTAAACAATTGATTTTTATTAAAACTTTTATGTTTTAAGACTTCCTAATGACCCGTTTTCTTATTATATTAAAAAATAAATGGTTATGGCACATGAAAATACAGTATACAGTAAAGATTTATTTAAGCAGGAAACTATAATTAGTTATTTTTGTTAAGTTTCTATCATCATTCTTTGAGATTCTTGGGAAAAAAAAGTCACTTATTGCTTTTACATCGTCTCTACTTCCGATCCGTGAATCTCTTTGTTCTCTCACTTTTTTTTATTACTAGCTTGTTTGCGTGATAATGCAACTTAAGTTAAACATAGACCCCAACGGAAATAGACAAAAACAAACTTCCAAAACCTAAAAATATGGAGGCGAGACCTGCGAAGAAAAGTTCTTTGACCAAAGATGTTTTTGCTGGTATACTACATGACGAGTTCAAGAAATGCAGTTGTTAAGGATTTATACACACGTTGAAGCTATTCAGAAAATTAAAAGTTGATCAGGAAAAAAGATACGTCGAGAATGCGCTGGTTGCCACAAATCCCAAAAACAAAAAGACGATAGCTAGTGAAGGAAACAATCGTTGGGAAAGCGGTGGGGAGAAGGGAGTCGAGCTTTGATACTCTGACTGTTCACATTTACGAAGATCATAAGTTTTCGGTTAAAAAAAACATAATAGCTAATTATACGAAAACACCGTTACCAGAAATGACATTTCGAATAAATTTGAGAGACACCGAATTCAAATTTACGTTCTATAATAAGTAGAACTTGTACATGATTGGTCGGGTATCGCGTGTAACAATGTGTGAAATTTTGGTTTGTCAATGCAAGAGAAATATATTAAATTTTTTTGTTCATGTTCAGCGAAAATTGCATCTATAAAAGTACTACCCCCAAATATGTAATTCTCCATCCCAACCACAGCTTGCCACGACTCCATCTAAAAACGGGTGCCAACATGCATCCGTACACGCTCCTTGATGAGCACCTTCTAGTTTCTTTACAATCTTAGACGAAAACCAATCATAGAAAAATAATCCCCCATTTGCATCCCCGGAAACTAAATATCGTCCTTCAGATTCAGGAGA